TGTCTCTTTCTCTCTCAGAAGGAAAAATAAAATCTATAGCTCATTATGTTATCTAGATGACAACGTACATAGCTGAGAAGGTAATCCTTTCTTTAAGTAAATTATGTATCAGATGCTTTAAGGGAGAATAAGTGGGACTTAAATATCTATGCAACAGAAGTCATGATTAGTCCCTACATATGAAACTAACAAACAAATAAAGACCTTGCATCTAACTTCAAATACTTTGAAAAATTTTAAAAAGTCCAAAGAGAAGCTTCTCAAGAGTTTATATTCTCAGAGAATATTTTATTTGTATAACCTCCATGTGTATAAACAGGTAAAGTTCTCTCTATACCCCAAAATAAGGAGAGTAAACATTTCCAAATTGGTTCTCAAATGTACTCTAATTATTTCATTAAAATTTTCCTCCAGATTTGAGGGGAAAAAAGTGCAGCAAATTGCAAATATCATTAAAATGGAAAATTAAGTTAAAATATAAAAAGCTATTTCTCTGAAATGTAATTTTATAATTCCAAATATCTATTATATTATGTCACTCATGAAATTATCCTGTTACTTTTACTTAAGTGATAGCTGTCCTATTTACTAAAGGTGACACTGTATTTTTTTAAAAGAGGTTTTTGCCTTAGGGTACATGCGCTTGCCAGAGAGAGAGACAGAAACAGTGACAGAGAAAGTGAGACATCACCCCCCAAAGGGATGGCCACACCACAATCCCTTCTCCTCCATTCTCCTCTTGAGATCTTGGGCATGAACACGCATGTGCCCAGAGTGATCTTCAAGCCATCAGGCCCAGCAATTTATTTACTCACAGAATTCACACATCTCTGTACTCAAGTACTTTATGAGTCTAAACGAGCCTGGTGATGACACTAGGCACTCACAAACTTACTTGCTAAAATAATAAAATAAGCTTAAGCTTTAGAAAATAATCTGTACTTTACATGCCTACATCATACAATTTTGACACTAATTCTAAAAAGTATTATGGAGTAAACCCTGAAATAAAGTCGTAGATATTCCTTCACAATTTAAAAGGCATAGATATAGTAAAGGCTATAAAATAGTGAATAAATCCATACATTTTAATCCAATCATTTTATGTTCATAATTTATTCTATTTGATTAAAGAAAAATGTTATCTATATTCATTATGCTATGGCTTATAGGAGTTATTTATAATAGCAAAAATTAGAAACAAATTATTTAACATATTAGGGAAAAGGTTAAATCAATGATGGAATATTAACTCAATGTGATATACGTATTTTTTTTCTTTCTTTTTTTTTTTTTGGAGAGTTTTTTTTTTTTGCTATAGGGCACATACACTCACTCGAAAGAAGAGAGAGACAGACAGACAGAAAGAGAGAAATCACCCCCCAGGGGGGATGGCCATGCCACAATCCCTTCTCCTCCATTCTCCTCTTGGGATCTTGGGCATGCACACACGTGCCCCCAGCGTTTTAAGCCACCGGGTCCGGGACTTGAACCACAGTAGACTACATGGGAGTCCAGCGATATAGTCATTACGCCAACTGCTGGTCCCCAATATGGTATATATTATGTAGCCATTAAAATAATTGGAATTACTAGAAGAACACGGAGAAATGTCTGACACTGTAAAGTAAATAAAAGCAAAATACCAACAATAATTAAATAGCCTGCAACTATTAAAAATACATACATATGGACCAGCAGGTACATAGTGGTAAAGGTGCTGGACTTGCACGTGGCTGACTGCAGTTTGAGTCCCAGATCCAGTGGCTTAAAACTTATGCTGGGTGCATGTGTGTGCATGCCCAAAATCCCAAGAGGAGAATGGAAAAGGGATAGTGCCGTAGCCATCCCCCCAGAGGGTGATTTCTCACTTTCTGTCTCTCTGGCAAGTATATGTGCCCTATAGCAAAAATCTCTCAGGAAAAATAAAATATTTATATATAAATGGGATAAAAAGCTTCTGTAGGTACCCATGGCATCTATAAGAACTTTAACACTGTTTCTAACGGAATGTATGAATAAGTATGAATAAATTTTGTTATAATTTATATGTATGTATAATACATAGAATATAATACATAAATAAAAATTAAACTTAAAATCTGTTCGTAACTTAAGGACTATCTACATATTTAAGAACTACAGCAAAGACACTCATCTTTAGCACGAGAAGCCAGGGCCAGGTAAAGCCTAGAGCTATAAACATGCCAGAGCAGGAATCAGCACCATGAGGATGGAAAACAAAAGTGCTTTTCATTCAGCAGAACCTGGTAACTTAATGAAAAATACTGGCCTAGGAAAGAAAGCCTAGAATGCCCTAAATGGGAGAATGCAGCCTACTTGGGGAGACAAATCAGAACCTTAGACTAGGAATATTTTAGAGTCTATTGGAAAAAAGGAATGCACAAGATGGGAGAGTGGTAAAAAAGAGGGGTATGCTGTGTTCAAAGCTGCTCCATGAACCTGACTAGCTTTTTATCATCATCTTCTACATCTTCATCTGTGATTTTTTGGTTTTCCTAAACAGATGTTGCTCAAGTGTTGGAATTGTGAACTTGAACAAGCATAAGGGGACAGGTGATAAGAAGGCCCCTTTAATAAGGACATAGCCCTAAGAGTGCCAGCCCCTCAAATGACAGCCAAAATGCAACTTGAAAGATACATAAGAATTTAACAGATAAAAGGGGCCTGCAGGTGGCATGGTGGCTAAGGGCACTGGACTCCCACATGTTCCATCATGGTTTGAGTCTAGGACCTGGCATCTTACTCTCTCGCACTCTCTTGCTTTCTCTCTGTCTCTCTCTGGTTAAATTCAATCAATAAAGTTAAATAAAATAATTCTTTTTTTAAGAAAAGAATTTAACAGATAAAATATTCAAGTATCCTTTTTTCTTGTTTTCGTACATTTTTTTCTATAAAATATTTCCAGCAAGTGGCTTCTGCTTTACTACAGATTACAAATCTCCTGTTAAATTCATGCCTATACATACATATACCCCTTCTCTTACACACACACACACACACACACACACACACACACGTACAAGTACACAGGCTTCAATATTTCACTTTTTTAACAGTAGGACCTACATTTTCCCTTCAATTACCAACATGTCCACCTATATATCAAGAAGGTAATATGGAAAAGAAATTACTATCTATTCTTGCCTTTCCTGTAGCAACAGTTTAGGAGCAATTATGGTCACAGTGACCATAATTGAGTATTTCATTGCCCTGACCCCTATTTCTCACATTAATGTCAAAACAGAGACTAGAAAACCTGATCTTGAAGGTAGACAATTTAGCTTCACTCAGTGAGAGAGACAGAGAAAGAGAAGCACCCTTGACGGGGCCTGGTCATGCTCCACTCTCCCTCATGTTCTCCGTGTGCTCGCCAGACAGAGAGAGACAGAGAGACAGAAAGTGAGAAATCACCCCCCAGGGGGGGATGGTCACGCCGCAATCCCTTCTCCTCCATTCTCCTCTTGGGATCTTGGGCACGCATGCACATGCGCCTGGCGTGAGTTTTAAGCCACCGGGTCCGGGACATAAACCGCGGTCGACTACGTGGGAGTCCAGCGACATAGCCACTACACTAACTGCTGGTCCCGCCGTTCTGATGGATCTTGGGCACTTATGCTCGCCCTGCATGTTTCAGACTGACCAGGCCAGAGATCTGAATCACAGTCACCATGTGGGATCCAGCTTCTCTTGAGCAGTGTTTTATACTGCATTCTGGAGCTAGCCCCAGACTATGCATCTTTTAAACAGTAGCAAAATTTGTCTTGCTAATGGAAAACATCACCACCTCTTCTACACTTGCCTATTAGATTTCAATAATTGTCACACTAACTTTAAAGAAAGAAAAAAAAAAATTTAAACAGTAGCAAAATTTGTCTTGCTAATGGAAAACATCACCACCTCTTCTACACTTGCCTATTAGATTTCAATAATTGTCAACTAAATTTTAAAAAAAAAAAAAAAAAAAATCACTGATTAAGCAGTATAATTTCATCACCGCTCTTTTTGAACAATCTTAGATTTGCTGAGTGGAAAAAATAGCAACTGCTCTGATCATCAGTTTTCTATTTCATCATCAATATTCTCATTCTTCTTACTTTCCAATTTTCTCTACAGAGACCATGCAGACAACTGGAACCAAGTATATCAAAAGGAGCTACCATTTTTACTTTGCTTTATAAGAATAAGAAAATGAATTTTGTTTTACCCCTAAAACAAGTTTGTGTGGACAAAAAAATGGCTTTTTGTTTTCCGTCCAAGGGTTACCTTCTAAGAAAGGTGAAAGTAATCCTCTTCTTACACTGATTCTTGCCACTATAATAAATTCTAGTAGGAGGGAAGTTTCAAAAAAGAATCAAAAAATTAAATAAAAAATTACAAATTATAAGAAAAGGGAAGAGCCTGGAAAAGCATTAAGGTAGCCATGGTGAATGAAATTAGCTTTCAGTAAAATCTTAAAATAATAAAATGAAGCAGTTGAGAAGGAACATTAAAACAAACAGTATTGAAAGAAAATTAACTAAGAAAATAGAAAAGCCTTGTGCTGCATCAATACTATGGCATTCTTTACCAGAAGCCTAGACAAAATGTTTTAAGTCCCTATTAGTTCTACTTCAATGTGCAAGTTTACCTGCTAAGAAATTAGTTGAGAAATAAATATTTATAATACTTATGACAAGAAATCCAAAATGTATGAATAATTTTAAGTGAATTTTTCCTACTCTCCTACTCTACTGAAATAAAAATTTAAGTTAATTCCACTTCAAAATAACTTCATTCATACATGTAACATAAGAGGCTCTGTTTTCTTTTTGTCTATCACTCCTAGATATTAAATTAAGAGAAAAGGGTGACTCAATAGCTCTTTTTTCCAGGCTATTATGGTACTATTTACTAAAGCTAGAAGTTAATAGCACCAGAAGTACAGAGGAAAAAGTGAGTCAAGGATGGTCTAATTTGAAGAGTGACATATTTCTTACCGTGTCTTTTCCATCTATGACCTCTTATTGACATGCTGGTTACTGCATTTCTTGATATTCTAGAAGAAGTTGGTGTAATTTCAACTTGAATACACCTTGTACCTTCTTTACTAGATTTCATGGCACCATGAGGCAAGGAAGCCTTTATTGCATTAGCAACCTAAGAAGGAAAAATATGGTTTAAGATTGACGTTAATAGATGCATTATTTTATCCTTAGATAAAACATGATGCTAAATGTAAACAGGTTCATAAAAAGAATATTCTCTCCAAGGTATTTCATCAGATATTTACATTCTCTAGGATAAGAAGTAAAAGCTCAGTAGGAAAGTTATGGTTAAAAATTATATGTAAGTAACGAAGTTAAAAATTTCAAAATGTTAGATTTCCAAATGTTTAATGCTAATTAATAAGTGCAGTTCAAGCGTTTTAAGAACATTCTAATAAGTTAAAGATGATTAAGTATTTAGGGAGTTATTAAATGAAATTTGCAGATTTTATTATGTATACCTTTTAAGTGTAAAACTTTCTGAATATAACAAGAGAATGAGTATTAATGACATATTAATCACTATGCATGATTACTTCTCAATTTACAATTCTAAACTCAGAAATCATAAATGATAAAATTCACATAAATAAGTGAAGCACCTACCAGCAATGGCTCTGGGTATAATTCTAGCTGGGCTCTGTATATAATATCATCCAATGCTTTTTGAGCTAGATCCCATTCTCCATTGTAACTATAAAAGCAAATGAATTAAATGAAGAAGTGTAATTATTTCTTTTTTTTTAAGAGTTATTTTATTGGGAACCAGCAGTTAGCGTAATGGCTATGTCGCTGGACTCCCACATAGTCAACCGTGGTTCACGTCCCGGACCCGGTGGCTTAAAACTCACGCCAGGCGCGTGTGCGTGCGTGCCCAAGATCCCGAGAGGAGAATGGAGGAGAAGGGACTGCGGTGTGACCATCCCCCCGGGGGGTGATTTCTCGCTTTCTGTCTCTATGTCTCTGTCTACCTGGTGAGCGCACGCACCCTATAGCAAAAACCTCTCCAAAAAAAAAAAAATTATTTTATTTAATTTTACTTATTGTTATTAATATTATTTTTCAGTTTGATCAGAGAGAGGGAAAGTGAAAAAGCAAGCCACCAGATCCAGGACTTGAACTGCAGTTGGCCATGTGGGAGTCCAGCACTTTTAACCACCACACCACCTGCCAGCCCCAGAAAGTGTAAGTATTTCTAATCAATTTAATTTTAAGCAATATAATTGAACAAAATATGATGAGAAACTGTTTATCTTTAATAAGGAAAATAACAGATCATATTAGTTATATATAGAACAGAATCAAAAAAGCTAAGGTAATTTTAAAGCATTTTATATTTTCAAAGCAAGTCAGAGCATAATAAATTATATACCTTAGAATAACTATTCAGAACACTTTATGGTCAAATTACTCTGTAACTCCCACAGTTTTTAAAGAGAATCTACAACGACTGTGGCTTGAAGTACCCTGAGTGGTTACTTCTTTGTATTTTCGTTGTCATTTAGAAGTTCATGTGATACATATGCAAAAAGGATGAAAAAAGAGTGCATAATTTTATGCGAAATTTTCAAAGATATGTAAAAAACCTTTTATTAAAAAAATGCTAAATGACAAAAACAAATAAATAATCACTAAGTCATTTACCAACAAAATAAAGAAGTGTAAATTACATCAAGAAAGGAAGCAAGGGCCAGCCAGTGGCATGGCGTGTAAGGCAGCTAGATTCCATATGGACACTTGAGCAGTTCAAGTCCTGGACCGGGTAGGTTGAAAAACATAATGGGAGCATGTGTGTGCATGCCCAAAATTTCAAGAGCAGAATGGAGAAGCGATTGCAGTTTGGCCATCCCTCCTGGGGGGCGGGTAGGAGGGTGATTTTTCTCTCTCTCTTTCTCTCTCTCTCTCTCTGGCAAGCACACACCCTCCATAGCAAAAACTGAATAAATAAATAAAAATAGAAAATGAAAAAAGAAAAAAGTGCAAGTGAGACCTAAAAAGTTGCAATGAACCTTGCTCCTGTCCTGAAAACAAGATAAAGACAGGTAATCTACAAAGTCAGAACTTTTCAGGAATCCATCAAAGAGTTGAGGTCAAATAGAAAACTCATTCCTGTGGCAGTATTCTAGGAGTGGACAGATGCCTTTAAGGACTGCAATACAAGTAGGTAAGAATTTTGTAAAAATTTTAAACAGATTTCTAAAAGTCCACATGCAAGAAGTTGGCTCATGGCCTAGCATGAGAGTATAGAATCTCTGGGAGCACCTAAGGGGAACTGATACACATTTACAGGCTCTTCTCTATGAACCTCCTTTAAGCACTCACAAGACAAACTGGGAAAAGGGCAGGGAACAAGGGAAAGCTTGCGCTTGATGGTGGAGGCCCAGGGGCCACCCAGCCTCCTATGGCCAGCCATGCAGGAAAGAGACAAAGACTAGCCAGATTCTTTTAAAATTTGAAACAAAAGTTTTAAAGCCTTTGAGAGAAAGAGCAGCACACTCTTTAACCACAAGGGAAATAAAACAAAACAAAAAATACCTCATTTTATGCTGAGATTACTGGAGGTGGTCTAGGAGGAACAGCAGGACAACTAGAAGGGCTATGGGGTCTGCCTAGAACTAAGGTCTGAATCAGTACCACAAAGAACACCAAATCCTCCCTTGTCTTCCTCTTCACACCACCAAACCAGTACACAGCTAGATATAAGCAACAAATACTCTTCTGCAGGAAAAGGGGCAAAAACAAGGGGAGAGAATCTCTCTGAGGTGCCGGCATAAGACAAAGGCTGAAAACTGAGGATGGAGCAGGAGTATTGAGAAAAACCCTCCAGCAATCCAGCTCCCACCTTAAGTATCAAGCAATACTAGAAGAATCTGAAGGTGGTGATTTCCTGAAGGTAACCATAGCAACCTAATATCCAACTCCAGCTCACTCCTGCCAATAACTCTATTAGCAGCCTAGAAGAAAGAGGTATGCTCACTTCCAGACATATTTACCTTAGACTCTACAGTCCTAACCCTGAACAAAAAATATGACAATCAGAAATTACAAAGCACAGATAAAGAGGGTGGGGTGAAGGAGGTCAACCTAATGTCAAGAGATAAAATAATAAATAAAATTCCAGATGTTGGAATCAGAAAAATTAAAATAGCTGAATAATATAGTAAAGGCTTTGCAGAAGACATGGACAACATGCATGAACAGATAGAGATTTCAGCAGAGAGATGAAAATTATTAGAAATAATTGAATGAGGGACCAACAGATGGTGCAATGGTTATGTCACGGGACTCACACATGGCCAACCATGGTTCCAGTCCTGGACTCAGAGGCATGAAGCTCAAGCTGGGCACAGGTGCATGCATGCCCAAAATCCTGAGAGGAGAATGGAACAGAAGACACTGTGGTGTGGTCATCCTCCCTGGGGGGGGTGATTTCTCACTTTCTGTCTCTTTGTCTCTTTCTCCCTGTCTGGCGAGTGCATGCACCCTACAGCAAAAATCTCTCTCTCTAAAAAAAAAAAAAAAAGAAAGAAAGAAAATGAAAGGATTGAATAACAGGCTAAAATATATAACAGAGATGAAGGATGCTTATAGTGGCCTTATTAGTAGACTTGACATAGTCAAAAGAAGACAGTTCAAGAGGAATTACACTGAAAAAATAAAGGAAAAAAGAGAAAATTGATCAGGGCATCCAAGAGCTGTGGGACAATATTAATAGTCTAACACAGAGGTCAGAAAACTGTCACTGTAGCACAAAAGCAGCCATACATAATATGTAAGCCAACAGGCATGACTGCGTTTCAGTAAGACTTGACAAACTGACAGCAGACTAGATTTGGGCCACAGACCATAAATTCTGCCATCAATCAAGAATCTTACAATCTATTAGGAAAAATGAAAGTATCAAGTGGTTATACTACAATGTACAATAAGATATGTGTAATGAGTGAATCACAAAGTAAAAGAATCCAAAGAAAAATATTGTAATCTAATTCAATAGGCAAAACTGAGCACCAACATTACAAATTAATAGTAAATTAAAAACAAACTATTTCTGATCAAAGAGTCTCTAAAATTTTATTTTATTTATTGTAATTTGATCAGAGAGGGACAGAGCAAGAGAGAGAGAGAGAGAGAGAGAGAGAGAGAGAGAGAAAGTGAGAGAGGGGAAGCCAGAAAGCAAGCTGCCAAGTCTGGAATTTGAACCGTGGTTGGCCATGTGGGAATCCAGCGCCCTTAACCACCACGCTACCTGTCGGCTCCCTAAAATTTTTTTTTTTTTGAGAGATTTTCACTGTAGGGCGCGTGCGCTCGCCAGACAGACAGAGAGAGACATAGAGACAGAAAGCGAGAAATCACCCCCCCCCAGGGGGGATGGTCACGCCGCAATCCCTTCTCCTCCATTCTCCTCTCGGGATCTTGGGCACGCACGCACACGCGCCCGGCGTGAGTTTTAAGCCACCGGGTCCAGGACACAAACCGCGGTCAACTACGTGGGAGTCCAGCGACATAGCCATTACGCTAACTGCTGGTTCCCCCTAAAATGTTTTTTAAGAGCTACAATTTTTGTTCCAGTCCTGTGGCCTAGTGGTTAATGGAACTAGATACCACAGGGTTCACCATGAGGTTTGAGTCACAGTCTTGGTGGCTTGAAAAACATGCCTGGCACTGGTACATATATGACCAAAATCCTAACAAGATGGAGAAATGGAAAAGGGAATGCAGCGCCCCATTAGGTGGTGCTTTCTCCCTCTCTCTCTCTCTCTCTCTGTCTCTGGTGAGTATACATATCCTTTGGCAAAAGAAGAAAATAAGAGTTAAATGTCTGTAAACAGAGAAAATATTCATTGGGATTGAAAAGCTATTTGGATGGGACCAGCAGGTGGTGTGGTGATTAAGGCACTGAACACTCCCATATGGCCAACCAGGGTTTGAGTCCTGAATCTGGTGGCTTGCTTTCTCACTTCCTCTCTCTCTCACTCTCAACCTCTGTCTCTCTCTGGTCAAATTAAAAAAAAATAAATGAATGAATAAATAAAAATAAAATAATTATTAAAAAAAAAAGGAAAGAAAAGCTATTTGGAAGTTATAGCAAAAAAAAAAAAGAAGTAATAAAAAATGTGACTATCCATGGATGTATTTGAGTGTACTAATTTTCATTCTCTCCTTGAATGATGATGAAGTGTTTGCTGGTTACAAATTCTTCAGAACTTTAAAAGATATGTTTAAATAATAATACTATTATCAACATATTGATTCATATTGTTTTTTAAAAAGTTGATTTTTATCTATTGAGATTATAGTATACAAACAATAGATTAATAGACTATAACTTTCCAAAGAGATCGAAGGTTGGCTATGTAGATAAAATAAACTTACAAGGCAAAATAAATCCCTGTCAACATCTGTACCATGAATCCTGAAGAAAGTGGTATCCTGCTACTTATACCTTTGTATTTTCTTACATGTTGTCGAGGATATCCACAAACACAGATTCTAGAAAAAAAAAAACAAGATAAATATATTTATAATATTGGTAAAAAATTTAAGCAGTTTCTTTTTTTAACATTTATAAGCCAACTAAGTATACTCTCACAACACACCTACTGTCTAAGAAACAAAGAATCTTTCCAAACTGAACATTTGTCTGTAACATTGCCTAAGTAAGTTAGACTGGAAAAAAATGTAAAGTTAGAGGTATGTTTATATATTAAATAAACCAGATTCACATACTGTGGGTTCACTAATTTTGGTCAATTCAGTTGTTAGTAATTTTTGTCGACCACAGAACCAATTACATGGAATGGAATTTTGTACTATTTACATTGGCATAAATTACATGAATTTTGTACTATTTTCTATAAATAGATCCATGGTATAGTACTCTATGTGGTTTTTGACCACAAAGTGCAAGATCTGAAAAAAACACTATAAATTAGGCTCAAACTTTGTATAGTACACCAGGATAAATTTTAGATACACTAAAAAATGTAATATTGGGTCCAGCAGGTGGCGTAGTGTTTAAGGCACTGAACTCCCATGTGGCCAACTGTGGTTCAAGTCCCAGATCCCTCAGCTTGAAACTTGCACCAAGTGTGTGTGTGTGTGTGTGTGTGTGTGTGTATGCATGCCCAAAATCCCAGGAGGAAAATGGAGAAGAGATTGCAGCATGGTTGTCACCACTGGACAGTGATTTCTCACTTTCCCTCTCACTAACTTTCTCTGTCTCTCTTTGGCAAGTGCACAGACCTTATGGCAAAAACAAATGAACAAAAATTTTTAAGAGAGATTTTTTTCTATAGGGCACATGTGCTTGCCAAAGAGATAGACACAGAAAGCGAAAAATCACCCTCCCCAGGGGGTATAACCACACCACAATCCCTTATCCTCCAGTCTCCTCTTGGGATTTTGGGCACATATACACACATGCCTGGCATGAGTTTCAAGCTACTGGGTCCAGAACTTGAAAAGTAGTTGACTATGTGGGAATACAATGATGTAACCATTCTGCTGGTCCCACAAACAAAAAGTTTAATGCAAAAATATTTAAAAAACAAGAAAATAATCATATTCTTTGCATGATATCAAAATAGAATCCTAAAAAAGATCAAAAGATTTTTCAATTTTTTAAAAAAGAGCTACTAAAAAAAATCTGAAATGTAAAGAAGTAATTTATTACAGTGATGAATGTTTAAAGAGTACTACAGTTAAGGAGTATTTATAATAATGAATAGGAAGCCACTTAAAAGTTCAAGACAAGGGAACAATCACATAAATCATTGGAATCACTGATGCAATTAAACATGATATTCAAAAGTCTATTTTAACTACAGCAAAAAACTGTAAAAACAAAACAAAAAACTCTCATGCAGCATAATCCCATTTTGAAATAAACAAAGAGGCCTATAGTATGTGTCACTGCAAAAAAGAAAATGTACACAGTCATTGTTATCTCTAATCTGTGGAATTACAAGCCTATTTTATTTTCTATATTTATATGTATTTTCTAAATTTTTCTATCATCAAAATCACTGTTTTTAAAATAAATAAGGGGGCTGGCACAGGGCCACCATGTTGCAGCAGGATGGGACTGATGTCACTGAAGATAGTTCACTGTTTGATGCTAAAGAAGAGACAATAGACCAAAGAAATCCAAAATCATACATCCAGTGTCATCATTTTTCCATTTATTCTTTCAAGTCAGTGCAATCATAGTCTATCTTCTCTATGGATTGCTCAGCAGAAGGCTTATTGCCTGTATGGTAATGATTATCTTGTTATCATGTGACTTTTGGGCAGTGAGGAATAGCACAGGTGGACTAATGGTTGGCCGATGCTGGTGGAATCATATTAATGAAGATGGAAAGAGCCACTGGGTGTTAAGTTCAGGAAGACATCCTCTCAAGAGAGTAAAACTGTTTCAGAGGCTGAATCAAGAATCTTTTGCCCACTCAGTGCTGTGGGTGGTTTTTGCATCTAGTGCTCTTTTCTCCTTCAGAGTAAAGTGGCTGGTGGTGGTTATTGTGTGGGTGTGGTGCTACAGGTGCCAACCTGTATGGTTACATCAGGTGTAAAGTGGGCAGCAGGAAGAATTTCGTCAGTATGGCTACTTCTTATCTTGGAAAGCAGTTTTTTTGTTTTCTTATGTTTTGTTTTTAGGGGAGATGTTTTTGCTATAGGTGCATGCATTCGCTAGAAAGACACAGAGAGAGAGAGAGACAGAAAGCGAGAAATCACCCCCCTTGAGGGGATGGCTACGCCACAATCCCTTCTCCATTCTCCTCTTGGGATCTTGGGCACGCACGCACACGTGCCTGGCATAAATTTAAGCCACCGGGTCTGGGACTCGAAACACGGTTGACTACATGGGAGTCCAGCGACATAGCCATTACGCCACCTGCTGGTCCCAGAAAGCAGTTTTTAAGACAAAGCACTGGAGATGATAAGAATTCCTGAATAGTCAGAAAGCTAATGTGTTTTATTACATTGGGAAATAAACGATGAGATTTTTGACTGGCTCTTTTAGAGCTCAGTCCAGTTGCAAAGAAGAGTGTTGGGCTGTTTTTCTGCTTAAGACCTTTGTATTTTGATCCACAGAACATAGGAAGATGGTCTTAGTTTATCTCAAAGCTCTATGTTTTCATTTCTGTAGATTATTTTCAGAGGTAAGTTTTGCTTCCACGTTAAGAGTGAGCACTTTGACCTTATGTGTAGGTTAGAAATAATTGTTACTTTAAAATATGTACTTCATGGTGAAATTTCTTAAACATACCCAAGCAAGTGAAAAACCACATTTGGGTCAGTGGTGTTAACTAGTTTCCAAAATTTTGTTTATTTGTAACAAGTCATTTACTCAAGGCCCAATTAATATAAATGGAATCTTAATAGTTATGTTTATGGGTTACTCAAAGATTGCTGCTCGATGGAATAGATAGCCAAATTTTACTTAGGAACTTCCCGGACACTCTTAAATGACTGTTGGGCTAATAATATCTATCCTTTCCCACTAAAAGATTATAGTTCTTATGTCATAATGAGAATAAAAATTTAAATACTTAACATAATAAATACCTGAAAGATATTTTATTCTGAGTCTATTTTCTTTTCCTTGCTATAATGGGGATATTGTAAATCACACATTTGTATTAATGGTACTTCTTAAAGAAAAGCAATATATATAACTGTAAACTAACCCAATCTACAAACTGTTGTAAGCATCTATAAATTTCATTATAGGTACTGTAAACTTTGTTGGAGTCCTTTGAATCAGCAGATTATATTGAGAATGTATTTGTAAATTGTTAAAAAAAAATTTTAAGAATGTTTGGTTCAACTGAATAAGTATCTATTGGGTTGATTGCTCTGAAGGTGTATAACTTTGTATAAAATCCTACTGTTTATAAAGCAAAGTAAATAAATAAATAAAATAGTTTCCACTTTTGATAAATAAGTGTAATAGAAAATATCTGCTTTCTGCTTATATCTGCTTATTATATGTTGTATTGATATGATCAACCTTCATTTAATACAGGACTAGCCAACAGACTATAACTATTTACCCACTCCAATCCTCTCCCTGCAGTCATTAACTGAAATGTAGTATTGCCTATGTTTAATAAAGCTAAGCCTTTATTTAAAAATGCCCAAGTAGAGCACAGACTGTTTTAAAAATCTCCCCTTGAGAATGTCATTAATTCAAACCAACATTTAAAAAATATAAATTCATGTTATATTGAGTGGATCTCAGAACTCTTAGAACCAAGAATAAAAAGTAAGCAGGGAACAACAGAAAAATTAGCTGCATATAAAATAAAATCAACTCAAATTTTGTTTGGAATTACAAAAATTTACACCCAAACTAGAAAGAGACTCCTCTTACTCTTCTTATCTAAAGAAGCACACTCAGAGAATTTCTCTTTCACCTTTATAATAGACATGGTAGTAAATAACAGAGACCCAATAAATGAATGAATGACAGGATTCTTCATTATTCATTTAGTAAAGGTTTATTAAACATTGACACTGTGTTGGACACTAAGGATGTAGAAGAAAGATGTGTACCAGATTCACAATCCAATCACGGAGACTGTGTAGTAAGTGTCAAAAGTTCTAGATTGTACCCTTAAAAAACAGCCACACAGGGATCAGCAAATAATGTAAAGGTTACATCGCTTGACTCCCATGTAGTAGACCTCGGTTTGAGTCCTAGACCCAGTGGCTTAAAATTTACACTGGGCGCATTTGTGTGTGTGTCCAATATCCCAAGAGGAGAATGGAGAAGGGATTGTGGTGTGGCTATCCTCACTGGGGGGTGATTTCTTGCTTTCTGTCTCGCTGTCTTTCTGGCAAGTGCATGTGCCCTATAGCAAAAATCTCTCTTTAAAAACAAAAAACAAAACAAAAAAAAAAAAGAAAGAAAAGAAAAGAAACCCAGCCACACTCCTTCCATTCTCTTGCCCTGCTTGCAGGATAGAAGGTGGGTATAATATTATAGTAATGATCTGCCACCATACAGATGAGGGTAACCCCCCAGGGAATGGGGGATCCCAAGGTAAAAGAAGCTCAAACACATTGGAAACATAGCCAATGTACTCCCAGACCATCTACCAGCTTGGACTTTTTTGTGAGGGACAAATTAATGTCCACTTCATTCAGGTTACCATTGGTTCTCTCTGTTGAAACAACCAAACCTATATCTAACCTGATATAGTACTCTTTCAATACTACTATTACTCACCATGGCCCGAGAGGGGTGTGTAGAAGCCTCAGGCTGGTACAATTATGGCCCTTTGTTGAATCATTTTCTATACTAAAGCTGCAGAGATGATATTCTTTGTACTGAGGTCACTAAAGGTAAACAATGTAATAAGCTTTTAGCTGCCTGAAGTCATTGCTCTTACTACATGGAAAAAGTTTATGCTCAAAAAGAAAACTAAAATAACAAATAAAGATGAGATGGGAGAGAATATCCTATGAACATCTGAACCTCTGGATCCACCAGAGCCTGAGGCTAGTTCCAACTCTTCCCAAGTACAGAAAACCATGAAAAAGTCCCTTTGGTATAACCTAGTTTGGTGTAGATATCAGTTAGTTGCAACAGAAATGGTCTGATTTCTTCACTCTTCTGCTCCTTGTAATTAGGAGCTTAGTAAAGGCTGTATCTTCTGTTGTTTTCCACAGTGAAAACCATACACAAAAATTATGCTCAAGTAGTTGGAGAAAAGATTATTGTAAATGGGTGTGGTAATGGACGATATTTAGATAGGTAAAAAGAAGTTTCCAAATAAAAATATAAGCAATAAAAAAAACTGGCCACAGGTTCTTTCAGTAAGGACTGACTTAATATCAGATATGTTTTAGAACTATTGGCACAGTAATGGCAAACAGGTGAGAAAAGTAAGCAAACAAGCAAAGCTGCATATCCATAGTGAGTATGTGTTCATTGCTGGGGCACAATAATATGAAGGCTGTCATTTATTGGATGAGCTGTCTGTTGGATGAGCTGTCGTTTACTAAAATGTATTACATGATAAATTCATATAATTACATATATATCATCAACACATATACTATTTTACTAGTCAGGACAAAATTAATCTGTAGAGTAGCTTATTCTCACAAAGGTGTTCTTAATGGAGAGAAAATAAGAAGTTTGTGCAGGTATTCAGGAAGACTGGCCCAGAAGTGAAGAGGGGGCACAGGGACAAATATATCAATCAGGAATTCACAGCAGTCCAAATTCAAGTCAGCCAGTTAGATGACTTAGCAGCTGGACAAAACCATGGGTGTTCCCTAGATAATGGGAAACCATTCAACATAATAGCTTAGTACAGTTTCATCTTTAATACTTATATTCCACATCAAAGATCAAGATATGTCATTTGTTAAACAGTCTTACATTAAAAGAGATGTCCAACAATAAGAAAATAAGGAAATTATTTCCTCAAACTCAAGGACTTTGGTATATGCTAGCAAATGCTACTTAATCGTAATAGCAGAGTATAGGAGTATATTCCTTCTAGGAGTGCCATATACAATGTTTAGTACTAGCAGAGAATAAAAATTGGTTGACTATAACATGTTCAGTCTACTCTTGCTTGCTTTCACATCTCTTCTTCAAGAGATGAATTATGTAGGAAAAAAACACAGGTTATCAAGCTTGCCATTGGCCTGAAACAGGAAAGCAAAGCTTGTAGCAACTGAGCAGAATTTTGCTCAGTAAAATGGATGCATAGAAGGAGAGTGGAAATTGTTCAAGACTGCTTTAATTATTTCCACAATTCATTATAATCAGAAGATTAAAAACGAAAACAAATAAAATAGGAACACACTTTTCTCTGAATCTAGCTCAGATATGCCTTGACATTTTTCTGGTTAAATTTATGTATCCTTCCTCCTTGATGATCCAATCATTTTGGTAAAATCATCAACAAGCAAACTGAGCAGAAATCTAAAACAATTGTCAAATGACCAAAAGGACTGGATTAGCCATAAAACACTATGATCATCTTTGTCTTCAGAAAAACCTGCTCTAACACTGAGATCATCAAGAAGTTCTTGTACTTTAACTAACATAACCATTTATAACTACTTGGCATACAGTACTATAAACCAATTTCCTTTCCATAGATATAAACTAGGCTAAGCTCGATTAGATATAAGTGCTTCTAATTCTCTTATATTCGTTTTTAAAATGTATGAAACTTCCTAATCAAAACATTTGTCAAATGATGAAAGGAGCCAAGAGACAATGAATAATCAGATTTTACCATTAAGAATATAGTAATATGGAATCTAAAATAAAAACAAGGCCCAGTCACATGATACAGGTGGTAGAGCGTTGCTATGTGATACTGGAGCTACATGGGAAGGCCTGGAGTTTGGATCTCTGTTGACCTGAACATGTCGGGCACACCCATGGCCATGCCCACAATCCTGGCTATCTAGAAGGCTGGTGGAGAGGTCAAGGTGTGATGAAACCCTGTTGAGGATCTCCCTCTCCCTCTCTCTCACAGAAAAAAGAAACATTAAAAACAAACAAAAAACCCTGTACTAAAAAAGAGTGAAAATTTGATAAATTTCCTCTGTAATTCTGTGGCTTAACAGTATTAATTAAATAGCTTAAGTTTTTTGAATTCCTTAGATATCTCCTACAGATCTGTTGTCTTACGTTTGGTGAACATTTTCACAGAATTAATTTTTCTTATGGCATAGATTAACATATTTCCACTAAAATTTTTCTTGGCCAAAATCCTACAACTAGTTTTTAAATCAGTTGTTTATCTTTGTTTTTAAAACCAGCATTTACTTGCATTCTTTGTGGAAGGATTATTGGGATTTGATTTCACCTTGTTAGGTGAAATTAGTAATATTAGCAATTTCCTACTCACAATGTAAAAATAATTATATTACAATGAAGTGCATTAGAGCTACACAAGACAAAAACAGTGACTCATTTTGTTTTCCTAACTTTCCATCTATAGTTCAGGAAAACATCAGCAATGATTCTTACTAGGACATTGTATTAGAACATCATGGAGTTAAAAAAAAAGATAAATATAGTTTTCTCAATAAAAATTTACATGCATACATATATATGGTATATGCATTTATGGGTCCTACCATCTAAGACTGCTTCAGAGTAGGACTCAGACTTTGCAGTGTATTGTCAGTTCTACAGATGAAAACTGCTCTATGACAGTACTCCTTAAACCAGTATTTTTGAACTATTGGTGCCTATACCTCTTTTCATCCTAACAAAGTTCTTACTAGACCATAGTAAAATGAAAAACAAAGACAGCTGATCATGTGTCATTTTAAAAAAACATTTATTTATTTATCTACTCATCTGTTGTGATGTTTAAGCTGCCAGGTCCAGGACTTGAACCACAATCAGCCATGTGGGAATCCAGCACCTCAACCACCATTCTACCTGCTGGCCCCAATTTTATACCATTTTTTTTTTTTTTGGAGAGATTTTCCCTGCCGGG